GTCTTAGCCGCATGTATGTTGTACCATGTTCATGCCTGGTGCCCAAGGAGACTGCAAGAAGACACTGGATCCCTTAGAACTGGAGATCGTATGGACAGTTTTGTGAGCCGCTGTCTCAGTTAGGGTTCTATTGCTGTGATGAGACACCGTGATCAAAAGCAAGTTGGGGAGGAAAGGGTTTATTTGGCTCACACTTCCACATCGAAGGCAGTCTGGGTAGGAACTCAAGCAGTTCTGGAGCCTGGAGGCAGGAACTGATGCAGAGGCCATGGAGGGAGCTGCTAACTGGCTGGCTTCCCCTGGCTTGCTCAGCCTGCTTTCTTATAGAACCCAGGACCACCAGCCTAGGGATGGCACCGCCCACAATGGGCTGAGCCCTCCCCCCACTGATCGTTAATTAAGAAAATGTCCTACACGTTTGCCTACAGTTTGATCTTACGGGAACATTTTCTCAACTGAAGTTTCCTCCTGTCAGATGTCTCTAACTTGAGTCGAGTTAACATAAAACTATCCAGGGCAGCTACCCTGGGGGTTCTGGGAACCGATCCCAGGCCCTCCTCCAAATCAACGTGTGGTTTTAAGCACTGAGGCGTTTCTCCAGCCCCAATTCCTGTTGTTTAAGTTGCTTGGTTTGTAGCATTTTGTGATGTCAGCCAGAACAAATGTCTGGCGTTCTTTTCCTTTTTTTTGGGGGGGGGGGTTGAGACAGGGTTCCTCTGGTAGCTTTGGAACCTATCCTGGCACTCGCTCTGGAGACCAGGCTGGCCTGGAACTTACAAGATCCCCCTGCCTCTGCCTCCTGAGTGCTGAGATTAAAGGCATGCGCCACCAACGCCTGGCATCTGGGGTCCTCTTTAGGAACAGTATGCATTCCTGTCTGCAGAGCTGTCTGTCCAGTTCCTGCCCAGGTTGTCCTTGAACCCCCTATGTAGCCTGACCTCAACCTTCTGGTCCTCTTACCTCCTCCTGAGTGCTTGGATTACAGGTGTTGCCACAATACCGGCTTTATGTGGTACTGGGGATGGTAGCCGGGGTCTGGTGCCTGTTAGACAAACATTCTACCAACTGAGCTATATCCTCAGCCCCGAGGCCCTCACATGAACTCACTTTAACCTCTCTGACAATTTTACTTCTAGTCAATGTTATGTGTTGAGCTACTTGGGCTCAGGCTCAGTGTACGGCTGTGGGAATATGAGTAGAGGCTGCTCACATCCTGGCCGGCCAGTAAGCAAGCAGAGTGGGGCTAGAACCCAGGACACCTTGGTGACTTCCCCAGCAACCAGATTCCACCAGTCAGTGCCCATCACTCTAGTCTTTGTGTCTGTTGTCACAGGACTTCCTCCCTCTGCCTTAGCCTGGCTGGTCTCCCTTAGGAGGACACTAGCCCTGTTGCATCAAGGCCCGTTCCATGATCTTACCTGAATGGCATTCACTGGTCTCTACCAAGATCCTATTTCCTAAAATATCCACCTTGGCAGGCGCCAGGTAGACAAGAATGTGTGTGGGACACTGCCCTCCCCTCAGGCAGGGGTGGAGTCCATCCTCAGCCCTGACG